TATATATTAAATTCAAATAAAATGACGAGAAGAGTAAAAAAAAAAAAAAATGGTCACCTGCTAACATGATGTTGTTGCTGAGGCTCATGTTTAATATGTTGAGTGGTGGTTTGTTGATGTTGCGGATGTTGTGGTACTTGTTGATACAAATGTGCATGAGCTCTGCCTGGACTAACTTCGCCATCGCTATCACCAACCGTAACACAGCTAATAACATTCTTCCTTTGAGCTCTTTGTGACGAGCTTTGTGATGTCGTATGAGAACTTGTGTGAGCTTGCGTACTTGAGTGAGCTTGCTGCATCGTTGGTACAACTCTCGGTGTAGATTGTGTACTGTAAAAAAAGGAGAAATACAATTTTTAATTGTTTAGAATTATTATGATTTTTTTTCTCTCTCCATCTGTTTTTTTTTCTTTTTTATTTGAACAGATGATTATGAAAGTGATTTACATTGATCTATTTTTCGTTCGATGATATTTTGACGTACGTGTTTCAATTATATGAAAATGTTAAGAATAACAAAATATGTTCTCTTTATATATAATATCAGAAATATAACTTGGATACACTTCAATAATCATCGATTCATTTTTAATTATGATAATACTTTTGGAATGTTCTACTTATGTTAACATTTTATTAAAACATGCATATAAGGATATTATGGTTACCTAGATTAATGAGACAGCCAAGAAATATGACTTTCGTATTTGTCTTATGTATATACGTTATGTGTGTGTGTGTGTGTGTGTGTTGATTTTGTTAAATGAACTAAATGATTTTTTATTGTATAGACGAATTAAAAAAAAAAAAAAAAAAAAAAAAAAAAAAATAATAATACAAAGATTATGAATTAATTGATCAATTTAAAAAAGATAATTAAAACAATAATAATGATAATAAAAACGAATACGAGGTATTATTATAATGATTTTGTGTGTAGTGTATAATGTGTTGTGTGTTGTGCTATATTGTAATACAATAATGTACCTTCGAATGACCTCCTCACGGACAGGACGTCCGTCGCCAGACAGGCGAGTTGCCAAACTTTGACAGGCTCCGCATTGACGATCGCCACAGCTGTCAATGATATCATGCATGATTCTACTACGAACTAGCATATACTAGGATATATAACTCGAAGATAGTGGGGATTTACTTGCAGGATTACTACTTGACAATATCGATGGGTTATCATTTTTCGTTAACTTAATTTGTTAGCTTTTACAATCTGTAAAATGTCATTGGCCTTATAAAAAAAAAAAAAAAAAAAAAAAAAAAAAAAAAAAATATGCTTCTTATCATACAGAAAAAAAAAAGAAAAAAAAGAATGATAAATATATGCAAAAATATATCAAAATGTATATATACACTATTATAATACAGATTGTCAAAAATGAGCAAAAAATACTGTTCATTTAAGCAATAAATAATAGACTAATATTCTACTTTTGAACTTTTCATAAAATGTAAAAAAAGAAAAAAAACAAACAAAACAAATATATATATATATATATATATATATAAAATAAAAATAAAAAAACGAAAAAAGGAAAGAAAAAAAGATAGGAAAAAGACAAAAACGAAAAATCAAATACAAAAAGAAAACTCACCATTTCCCAGGTGACTCATCTTCGCTGTCGCTAATAGTAATAACAGAAACAGCCGGAGATGGTGTATCATATATCGTGATAGTTTGTTGCCGGACGGATGCAACTTGTTGATGTTCTACATTGTGACTACTACTGTGCTTGCTGCTGTGATGATGAGATTGAATTGGTTGTTGTTGCCAATGTCCACTCGAAGGTGAATGTCGTCTCATACTACTTGGTGGTGTACTCTCCTTCACTCTCTTTTTCACTGGACTCAACTGTTGAGTTTCCTTTTTATGTTCATGCCTGTGTTGACTTTGCTGAGGTACGGTCACATGATGTTGATGATGTTTCGTTACACTACGTTTGCCCCAACCTTGCGGTGGATGTTCGACGAGAGCACTAGTGTTATATACTTCCGTGACAGGAAATACTGGCCGCTGATCCTTCCCCAAAACAAGGGTAATCAATTGGAACATTGCATTGACGAAATATATTACAAATGATTTGTAATAAAAATAAATATGACACTTATTTTTTACAATAAGGTCCAATTACTTTACCTGTAATATGGCAGAACTATCCACGATAAGTGGTCTACCCCAATCTCCAGCATCGCTTAATAATGGCTGTTGAATGGCTGCATGCTGTGGTGGTAATTGTTGCCAAGATGGAACTATTGCAGCCATTTGTCGACTTCCACCAGGCCATGATGTTTGTACGGCATTCTTTTATAATTATAATAATATTATAATCGCATCAAATACAAAGGTATATAAAAAGGTATCGAACAAAAAAAAAAATATATATATATATATATACATCTTTTTTCCAAGTTGTAGTTTTTTTTTTTTTTTTTTTTTAATAAAACATGATTATCTTTATGAACTTACAGTGAGCAACATTTGTCGTCCAGTTTCTACCATAGACACAGGAACTGCTGCATACTGTTGTTGCGCGGCTACCGCAGCTGCCGCAACAGCTTGCTGCGATATGATCGACGGTTGAATTTGAAGTGGACCTTGTTGAGCCTGCGGTGGCTATAACCATTAGTTTATAATCAAATGGAATAACGCATATCACTTTTTATTTAATTATAAATATATAACACAAAATAAATAATTTATTTATCATTTTTATTACTATTACCTGAGCAACTACTACGTGTTTGGCTGGACTTGGCATTGTTTGATAACCAGGAGGAGGACATAATATACCAGGTACTAATTGATGTGAAAAATCATGCACCGCACTTCGGCCACTGTTTGAACCACTAGAAGAACCACTGTATTGCGTTGCTCGACGACTGCTGTTGCTATAGATTTGATACTGCAATGTTTCAAAATAATATTATTAAAAAAAAAAAAAAGAAAAAAGAAAAAAAAATAGGAAAAAGAAAAAGAAATATTAAAATACAAAATAAAAAAATAATTAAAATTTGATTAAAACTAACCAGATTGTCATAGCCCGTTGGAGCAGTGCGATGTTCTCTAACTAAACGTTGCACTTGATTGGTCAATTGATTGTTAAACGTAAGAGTAACTGCGCTACCATTTGTCGTTGGTACAAAATTAGCTACTAAGGATGTAGGCGGGGGTGGTTGAGGAGCAGGTGGTGCTTGATGGTGAGCAGGACTTGCAGTAAAATCGCCGGCTCTTCTGCAAACCTCCATCATTTGGACGGAAGCCTTGACACTGTTATAATGCGCATAATCGACTAAATGTGCCAGGGTAACGAAAGCATGATTCAAAGCCTCTCCGGGTGTTATTCGGCGCTCCTAAAAATTGAATTATCTATGTGTATAATAACCACCGTTATAATATAATTAATTTTAATTAATAATAGAAATGAAAGAAAAGTCATTATATTTAATATATTGTACAACACATCATGGAAATATATTTTGATTAACATCAATTAGATATTACTACCTGGTCCATGGTGAGCATCCTCTTCAAGAGGTCAATGAACTCTCTCCTATCTGCCTTTTCAGGTAAAAGCTGACCACCATCTAAATCAGTCGGTACATTAACTTGGCCAATATCGTCGAGACAATTAAAAATATATTTTCTAGCTTCTTTTGATTTAATTCCAGTCTCTGCCTCGTGTTCCTCCGGTGTCTTTAATCGCCAAAACGGATGCGTACCTAAAATGAAATTTCAATGTGAATATAATCATAATGTTTAAAACATAATCTTGAAAAAAAAAATATATATATATAATAATAATAATAATAATAATAATAATAATAATAATAATAATAATAATAAATTATATTTTGGATATACTAACTGTCCATGTCTCGATAAAAAAATTTCGTCGTTTTACTAGCATTATTTAACATATGTTCCGTCGGTAGGCCCTGAGTTTGACTAATATATCGAATCTGATCGTACTCCGAGCTGCCCGGATACAAGGGCCATCCCAAAAACAATTCTGCTACGACACATCCGAGCGACCACATATCTATCGCTTCACAATAAGGAAGTCCAAGAATAATTTCTGGTGCACGATAGTATCGCGATTGTAAATAAGTATTGCAAACTGCTTTTGATACGTGAGAGGCCGAACCAAAATCTATGACTTTCACTCGATATGGCTGACGTGAAGGATCCACTAACATGATGTTTTCTGGCTTAAGATCCGCGTGTATAAGGCCCAATTGCTAAAAATCATCAATCACCATTTATTTATAATACCAAAAGGAAAAGAGAGAGAAAGAGAGAGAATAATATTTTATTATATTTATTTTTATTTTTATTTTATATTTTATAATATTAATATAAAATATTTTTTATTTTATAAATACATACCTTGAGCTTCAATAAAGCAGTTAAAACCTGTTGTAGTATCGGCCTGATAAATTTAAGAGGTAGCGGTGAGAATTTATTTTGCTTTAAAAAGTCATAAAGATTTTGTTCCAACATCTCAAACACCAAACAGGTGTGTGATTTATGCTGAAAGCATTCATAAGCGCGCACAAAGTTGAACTCATCCGCGTTTTCCTGACTTAATCGTGACAGGATGGAGACCTAAGGTGAAAGAAAATGAAAGGGAAGAAAAAAAGAAGAAAGATTATAAAATAAGATAAATGATTAAATTAAATGGACGATAAATAATGACGAAGAAGAATGAAAGTATCATACAAAAGAAACAATCAAATACGATAGATACCTCAATCTGCCCTTGGCGCGCATACGAGGGATGGTTTTTAAGAATTTTGATGGCTACTATTTCATTGGTACCCTTTTTCCAACATTTGACAACCTACAAATAAATGACGATTAATCAGACACAATGATAGAGAAACAGAGAAAGAGAAAAAGAGATCTTTTAAAGGAAAAAAAAGAAAAAAAAAAATATATATATATATATATAAATGATAAAAGTGAATGCAATGATGTAATATTTTCAAAACTTACCTGGCCGAACGTACCCCTGCCCAAAAATTCAAGAACTTCATACTGATTGGTCATAGAGTATAAAACTTCGTGTTGGACCAAATGATAATCACCATCCCCCTGAGGATTACTTCCACCTCCGCCACCACCGCCCCCACCTCCACCACCTCCGCCACCCCCATTGGCCGCGTTTGCAACTTGTTTGCTATGAGCTGTCATCCCTGCTTGTTTATGTTGCTGTTGTTGCTGCTGTTGTTGTTGTTGTTGCTGCTGTTGTTGTTGCTGCTGCTGCTGTTGCTGCTGTTGTTGTTGCTGTTGTTGCTGTTGTTGTTGCTGCTGTTGCTGTTGTTGTTGCTGTTGTTGTTGCTGCAGCTGTTGCTGTTGCTGTTGGGTATAATGCTGCGACACTATAGTACTACCCACTGCGTTCGTCGCGTTGGCGGAGTGGACTGCCAGGGCGTCACCATTACCCTCCCTCGACCAAGTTTTTCTCTGTAGGAGGAATATACCTTATACAAAAATTTGTGGACGTTAACAGACGATCTATATAATTACTTGTTTTTTTATTTTTTGTCAGCCTAGATTTTTTTGTCTCTTGCTTGTTTTTCTTTTATTTTTATGGAAAAAAAAAATGTGCCGGAGAAGAATGATGACAATGATGATTATTATTATGACGATTATGATGATTATGATGATGACAATGAAGACCTAGGTTACACAAAGTACAAGTTCTCGCCTGGTTTTTAGTGGAATCTTTCTCTCTCTCTCTCTCTCTCTCTCTCTCTCTCTCTCTCTCTCTCTCTCTCTCTCTCTCTCTCTCTCTCTCTCTCTCTCTCTCTCTCTCTTTCTCCCCACCCCGTTCTCTTGCTATGTCAACATCAGCTAACTCTATCAATAGACTAACAAGACATTGAAAATGATTATGATCGTAACAGAGATGACATAATCTCGAGTATGTGACTCGAATCAAAATTATTGGAACATCAAGAAAGAAATCCTTGTATCTATTGATTCTCAAATATTTATATCAGGTGTGTGTGTGTGTGTGTATGATGGAAGTATATAATTAAAAAAAAAAATTAATCTTATTCTAAATAATGATATATTCTAACAAAACAAAACGCAACGAAACAACAAAAAAGATTATACCATGCTAAATTGCTAATATGCTAAATATTTCTTAAATCTCTTTTTAGAGAATAAATTAAAATCAATATTGACATTAATCTCACGTTATATACTAACTCTATCAATCTTTATATAATTTATTGACAATTGATAGTAAAATAAATTTTTAAATGCTAGTTATATCTCTTTACACACACACGCATACAAGTATTTGTTTTTTTATATATTTTTCAATAAATATTTTTTCAATTTTTATATATTTTTCAATTTTTCAATAAATAATTAATCTTCATAAATTGATCAATTTTGCTTTTATATATATATATATATATTTTTGTTTTCACTGTCACAGAGAAAAAATGAAAAGAAATAAACAATTCATTAATTTTCTTAATCGTATATTGGAAAATGTGTGTGTGTGTGTATGTAAAAGAAAATCAGTATGAAGTTTAGCTTGTAAAAAAAGAATCTAATATCCAATAAAGAATTGGAGAAAGGATTGAATACAATGTAGAGTGTGTGTGTTGTATATGAATGTGTGTGTGTGTGTGTGTGTGTGAGAGAGAGAGAGAGAGAGGATTGTTGTAAGTGGGCGTTTCAAACGTGAAAGGTAGAAAAGCTGAGAAAGAAAAAGAGAGAAAGAGTGAGGGAGGGAGAGGGAAGAGAGAAAGAAAGAAAGAGAGAGAGAGAGAGGGAGAGAGAGAGCATCGTGAAATATGAAATGGGGAAGCCTTGAAAGGAATCGATAGTTAACTACGCCACGCGGAAATGTTTTCTATGTCCTCGAGAGAATCAAACTCTATTTTTGATCGCCATTGGCTTCGGGCAATGATCTAAAATCTATATCATCATGATTTTATAGCCTTCCCCATAAAAAAAAAAAAAAAAAAGAAAAAATAAAAGAAAAAATAAAAGAAAAGAAAAAAGCCAAAAGAAGAATTACACATTTCTTTGTCGTAGAATATATATATCATATTATATATTTATACAATATTAATTATATATTATACTTTGTGATTTTTAAAATGTCAATTGATAAAAACAAAAAAAAAAAAAAAGAAAAAAACAAAAAAAAAATTCAAATATAAAATACTATATAAGACCCCTTTTCTTAATTTCTTCTTCTTCTTCTTCTTTTCTTTTCCTTTTTTTTTTTTTATTTCGTTTCAATTTTTTTTTTTTTTTAGACATTACAAATTTAGAACTCAAAATTAAATTCAAACACGTTACTTATAATTTGAGATCTCCTGCATCGATAAGTTCCAAGAAATTTAACAAAATGTAATCATATTTAACAAACAAGATTTATATCTTATCAATATACGCACACACGTATAATCTTCATATCTAATTCGAATTTGATTCGTGTTGTTTTAATATTTGACGGAAGAAAGTGAAAGAAGAGAAAGTAAAAGAAATGAAAAGAAAAAGAAGTTAAAAAAAAAAAAACAAAAGGGCGGGGGGTGGGGTTGAAAAAAAACAAAAGAAGTTACAAGTGTCCGAATAAAATTTTCTTAAATAAAGTTAGAAAGAGAATAGAAATCGTTGACTCGTTCATTGTACTCTCTTAAGAGAGTTCAGTCCTTCATGGAACATAGAATGAAATGCTCCGATGAACGGGAATGAAAAAGAACGCCTAAACGTATTATATACCAGGTGTAAAAAAAAAAAAAAAAAGAAAAGAAGAAAAAAAAATTAAGCATCACGCACCTCTACGATTAACAATAAAAATATTGTTTATAATGGATTCTGACAATTCGAATGAAATTATGGTATTATAATAATAAAAATAATAATAATAATAATAATAATAATAATAATGAAGATAAATAAAAATAAAATAAAATAAAAAATAAAAAGCATAAACGCAAGACGATTTTTATTATCAGTATAAAATCGATTGCAATAAGAGAATGATTTATCGAACAATCTTTCAAGGACAATGAAAAAGAAGATTTGTCTTATCAGAAAACATTATAACTATATATATATATATATATATATATATATATAAACGATCATCGGAGTTTGAAACCTTCACATATATTCTCGATCAAAAGACTATCCCAAGGATAACGAGATCGATACCAAGTGGTACCAAGTACGTTAAGAGAAAGGCCATCATTAAATAACAATAATAAAATGAGTTACACACACACACACACACACACCGCACATAGATGATACAGCAACTTGTCAATGTATGATGTGATTTTTAATAATAATAATAATAATATTTTGTTTATTATTACTATTATAAATTGATTAGTATTGGACATTTACATATCCATGATAGAAATGTGTTTTGTTTTGTTTTATTAAGAATAAAACATGAAGAAAAATGAAAATAATGTTAGAGAGGGTGGGGGGTGGGGGGAGAGAGAGATCTGTACAAGAATAATAATTCTAATGAGATTAAAACACTAGCAAATATATGTATAAAGATAGAAATACATTGTTAGAATGAAGAAGATTATTAGAATGAGAAAAAGAAACTAAAATCATCCTAGTCATTGATTGATGATGAATCATACGTTAATATCTTCAATATTATCTGATTGTTTATCAGAAAACATGCGATTAATGAACGATGAACAATGAAAAACAACAAGACGAAAGTTAACACAACTACACGAAGAAAATGAAGAGAAAAGAAACGATTAGATATTAAAACTCAGGGTACATCTCCGATATCCCTTAATGAAATGAAATTATAATAACTTTTATAATAGAAATGTCCCTTCTGTTTTTACAAATACCAAATGTGATTAATAATCGATTAAAGAAATAATCCTTTAATCTCTTCTCTAAATAAATTCAATTAATGTTAAATCGAACAAACAAATTTAACATTGAAATTTGTCGAATCAATTTTTACGATAAATCATTAGAATCGATCTTTCATCTTGTATATATATATATATATATATATATATATATATATATATATATATATACATACACACGTAATTACGTATCTCCATTAAAATATCATCCCTAATTTACATCAACAAATTTCAATCTTTTCAACCTTTAAAATTTCTCAATCATATTATTTTTTCTTCTTCTTTTTCTTTTCATTTGGAAAGACGAATGAATTGGAGACGTTTATAAATATTGTATTGTAATGATGCTAATGGAGTCAAATACAGGATTGGCCAAAAATAAAGTTAGTTTATAGAGAGATGTTACAATTCCTTTTTTTTTTTTTGTTTTTTGAAAGGGTCTTTCTCTCCTTACAGACTAAATTTTCTTCTTCTTTTTTTTTTAGATCAAATAAAATTACTTAGAAATTTTTAGCCAATCCTGTATACAAATGATGATAATGATGATGATGATAAAGCTCAGTAAGCGCATCAAATATAAACGAAAAGGTAGAGGAAGCAAAGAAAAAAAAAAAAAAAAAAAAAAAAAGAAGTAAAAAGAAGGAAGGAAAAGATAAAAAAAATTTATGGGCAAGTGTTAGTTGGTTGGTTGGGAGGGGCATCGAGTGACACCAACCTTCTGGCCACAGCGTTGGTAGGTGTCTAGGAGCTTGATCGTCGAGGCTCGTACCAGGGTCTGCTGGTTCGGGCTACTCTTCTGCAGCGCATTATTGTTGTGCAGCGAGCTAAATGCGGTATTAGCACCGTTCACGGAGTACCGCTGTTGCAGTCCGGTATTGTCCAATTGATAGTCGCCGGTCGATTGGACCAATCCGTGCTGGATCACCGGCTGGCTCACGTTGTACTCCAACTTGCGTTTCTTGCTGTGGTGGTGAGCGGTGTTGTTACTGCTGCTGCTGCTGCTGCTGCTGCTGCCGTTGACGCTACTCGTCTGCTGTGTTTGGATGAACATGTCACACATTCCCTGAAATAAGATATAAAAATAAATAAAAGG